CACCTCCTCTGTATTGTGAGGGGTACAACTTGGCGTTCTCAACCACATCAGTGGGAAGCAGAAAAACTTCTCAAATTCTGACATGCATTGTTTGATTCTGGCCTGTGAACAATCACAGGTGAAATTATCCATTAATTGTGTACACCATCTGTCCAGGGATGAGGTACATTACAAGGCTGGCCAACCTGTGCTTCCCCCACCCCACAAAGGGAATCTCTCTAATACTGCCTTATCTCTCCACTTGGCTAATAGAAGCCCAGCTATAAGGGTCCACCCTTCACAGAAACAGCACTTCCTTTCTCCCACTGCAGAACATGGGTGCTCTGAAACTCCAGATGACTTTATGTGCTCATAGAATTGCAAGTCAAAGAAGACTGCTGTTTGGCAGGAGAAGCTGGATGGTCACATGTAGAGAAGATTTCATATAATGACATGCAGAAATGATAAGTCATGCCTTTAGAAGATGGCAAGTAAAAGAAAAGAAAGAAATGACTGACCCAGTGTACATTTTTCCTGCCTAAAGACAATTGTTTTTCTGATTTAGACTGCTAACATTCCTTCAAAAGTGATGAAAATGAATAAAAATAAACCAACAACAAAAAAAGTCATAAAAATAAAGGCTAGTCCAATCTCTCCTTTTTACTTAGGGAAATTAATCATTTCCCTCTTTGTTACAATTTATAAAAATCAGAAAAGAAACATTTTGGGGGGATCAAATCATTTCATTGAGGAACTTTGGGCATGGGTCAAATGTTGGGAAGGAAGAGATCTGAAGTCTTCAGCCCAGTGGGGATCTCCCCAGCTTTACAGTCATAGAAAGAAGAAAAATATTTTTTACTGGGTGCCAAGCTGGGATAAACAGTGCACATCTAGAGCCACATTATGAAATAACTGTGTATGTTCAAATATTCAAGAAAAGACCAAAGTAGGCAAAATGGGAAATGCTTGAAAGATTCATGAACCAACTTAAACTTAATACTTGCTTTCCAAAGTGCTCCCTTCGGTCCATTATATAAGGGAGTAGGAATGCAAGGATTAAAGATATGTGCCATTACCCCTTCAAACCCAGGGCTTGTTGGGTATCAGGAACCAGGTTTTTAACTGTTTTTACACCACTGCCTTGTACAAGGCCTGTATGTGGTAGTTACTAAATAAAACATACTGACTGAAGGAGTAGCTATAGAGTATTTGTCCTGGGGGGGCAGGGGGATTAGCTTATTCCTCTGAGTTTCCTGATGGAACATGGCACGTCAACACCACAATGAGATACTACGTTACAACTGTAGAATGACTTATATCAGAAAGACCAGAAACAGTAAGTGTTAGTGTGGAGGAAAAGGAACCTTTATGCACTGTTTGTTGAATAAATCTGCCAGACAAACTGATAAAGGGATCAGGACAAGGGGTAGAAAGAATACTAATTCTATAAGAATCAAACATGTATTTGAGCCTAACTTCAGGAGAGTTCTATGAAAGATGGAAAACTGTCCAGTTTATCAAAATGTATCATGCAGCAGAAGCAAAGAGACAGTGGTATTTTTCCAGAGACACACGTAGGAAGAAAATAGTGTGTAAATAAAATTTTTTTTCTAGTCATTAGAGAGAGAATGACAATAGAATGAAATACTGGGACAACTATGCATTTGGAAAAAGATTCTGATATCTTACAGAATTCCAAATAGGCTAAGTACTAGAAACAAACACTGTTTTTATTGTTCTAGGGATGGGGAAGACCCAAGTATAATGTTAAAACGCAGGAAACAAAACAAATTGACAGATATGACTATAGAAAAATTCCCATCTTACACAAACACACCATCAACCAAACCAAGTAAAGTAAGACCAGGGATGTTGCAACATGAAAAAGGGACAATATTCTTGTTATATAAAAAGTCTGTAACTCAGGGAGTAGGAAGAAAACTTTAGCTGGGCTTTAGAGAACAAGAACCAATTTGCAAAAGAAAAATAAATTCCTAATATAGCTTTTAAAGCTTAATCTACTTATCAAAGACATGGAAGCATCATTTGTACTTTTCCCACTGTTTAAGTTGGCAACCATAAGAAAAATTATTTGGCAGCTACATAAATAGAATTCTGAAACTAGGACGTTCCTGGAGGCAGTGTGGCAATGACCACTCATATCAAATTTTATAGTCACAATATCTTTAGGAAATGATCAGATAAGTGGATAGGGGAAAACATTAAATAATCTTCTTACAGAGAAAAGTTAGAAGTAACTGAAATGTTCTTTTCAAAGATGGTTAAACTAGGAGAAATGCAATGCCGCCTAGCCATTAAAAATGACATGTACAGGGCCTCCCTGGTGGCACAAGGGGTTAAGGCACAACCTATGAAGCTGTCTGCAGCCTCTGCAGCACGAGTTCAATTCCCAGCCAGCCAGGGAGCAACCCACATGGCGCAGCAGACCTCTCCTGATTCTCCCGCTGCTCCCCTCAGCAATGTATTTCAGTCAGTCAGCCTGTTCTGTTCCCCACTCTGTCTCTGGTGAATCCTTTCACCACCCACACCTCTGGCCTGTACTCCAGTTCTTGTATGCATAAATAAAATAAATCTTTAAAAAAAATACTAGAAGTTAGTTTAAAAAATGACATGTACTGAAAAGAAGGAAGGCGTCTAGCATTTACAGTTAAATTTTTTAAAAGCAAGTTACAGAAGAATGTGATTGTATTTAACTGTCAAAATGTTAAGTTTGGAAGTATGGTCACCAAATTGTCCAGGATGATAGAGAACTATTAACTTTAAGACCTCTATGCTGCTTCTGTAACTTAGAAGTAAATTGATTAAAGGAAAATTCTAGCCACTTTGCAGCGAGGTCACCTTTTTTCCTCATAAAGAAGTAAATGAGGGCCTCCCTGGTGGCGCAAGGGGTTAAGACACAACCTATGAAGCTGTCCGCAGCCTCTGCAGCATGAGTTCCATCCTTTGGCTGGCCAGGGAGCAATCCACATGGTGCTGCAGACCTCTTCTGACTCACCTGCTGCTCCTCTCAGCAATGTACTTGGGTCAATCTGCCTGTTCTGTTCCCCACTCTGTCTGGTGAATCCTCTCACTCCCACCCCCCAACACCTCTGGCCTGTACCCTACCTCTTGTATGCATAAATAAATAAATCTTTTTTAAAAAAAGAAGTAAATGAGCAGGGCTCCATGTGGGTGCTGGCTTTGAAATGGTTGAAAGTGTCCTGTAAGTTTCTGGTGGTGTTATGTTGCAAGAGGCAGTGCCATCAAAACATGAAAGTATCTTGATAGCTAATCCACTACTCTGAGTTTTCAGAAGTAGAAACCAAAGTTTAGTAACACACTTGAGAGCCATACTGTAGCCCTTTTGTTGTTGTTTTTTTAGCCCTGTTTAAAGAAGCTTCTGTAATGCTGTAGTTACTAGTTCACTGATTCAAATAATATGAGGGCCATACGGGCATTTCTTTTTTGCAGTCAAGGAACACACAGTTGAATATGTTTCAAAAGCCATATGGACAATGTGTTTTTAAGTGCTTTCTTCAAATGACTAACTTTTGGGGGAAACTGATGTTAGTCTAGGATATACCCCGAAGAACCTCTCCTAAGATAGGTAAGATATATATGTAGAACCCCACACTACAAGTCTATGGCATGTCACAGGGACTCATTGAAAGCTGAAAATTATGTGGGTGGAAGGCACCCGGAAAAGCATTTAAAATGGAGCTTGCAGGGCCTCCCCGGTGGCGCAGCGGTTGAGCGCTGGGTTGCGAAGCTGCCCGCGGCCTCTGCGGCGCCGGTTCGATCCCCGGCTGCTCCCCGGCCAACGGAGGAGGGTCCCACATGGCGCGCAGACGTCTCCTGCCGCCCGCTGCTCCCCTCAGCAGTGTACTTTGGTCCTTCTGCCTGCTCTGCTCCCCACTCTGGCTCTGGTGAATTCTCTCACCCTCCCGTGCTTCTGACTGTACCCAGTGCATGTATAAACAAAACAAACAAACAAATAAATAAATAAATAAAACATGCCTCTATAAAAAAAAAAAAATGGAGCTTGCTGACCCACCCCTTTTGGAACTTCTAAATTCTCACACCTTTGAGATAGTCACAGAAGGTACAATGCGACTAACCTCTTTTGATCCACAGTTGACTAAGGAAGATATACGTCAATATTGTAAAGGTCTAACTGCCTCTCAAAAATAACCCTTTTCTGGTTGAATAGTCCTTTCACGAAACAATCCAAAAAGACAAAGCAACCTTGAGCAACACTCTCTACAACCTAGGGATTTCATCTGTTGGACAAGATATCTTCAGAAACACTCTTTCCAGCCCTGTTGGAAAAGACCTTATCTAGCGTTGTTGACAAATCCTCATGCAGCCAAACTTCAGGAAAAGGATTCTTCAGTTCGCATGACACACCTGAAGCAAGCCCCACGTCCTGACTCCACCTGACGATGTGCAAATGCAGATTTCCAAAAACTTGAAGCGGATGACATCTCAACAGATGGCCTTCCCCAAATGACCAAGCCAGGCCTATGTATGTTCCCCTCATTGTTTCTTACCACCTGTTTCTAACTTCTCCTGGTGAATGGAGTGCTCATATCTGCATCTTCCAATCAGTTATGAAAATGGGAAATCTTTCTGGTTATTTAAATCCTTCGCATTAGGACAGCTAGCCAAATTCCAGTCAACTTATCAACTGTGACTTGATTCAAGGACTAAAATAGTTTTGAATAACCACATAGTCTGTGGTCATCTACTTGATATCAAACGTGTGGTAGCAATCATCACCTGTTGTGCATGGGTAAGTGCATCTGGAAAAGTAGAAATTTAATGACATAAAATCAAGAAACAAATGAATTGGTTAAAGCAAGTGCACCAAATGACCCTTGGTTGGTTGGTTGATTTTATCTATTTAGCTAATTGTCTTTTTAGTTTTGGTTTCTGATTTAGCATCATCATTTGCACAAGAGTTGTATTGTTTAATTTTGCCTTTGTATGCTCACAGTTAATTTCTGTACTTGTATCTATAGAGGTTTGCAGAAATAATGGCTTAATGAGGTGATGCAGGAAGAGTACTTCAAGAGGATCCACAGTCTGTGACACACTTTGAGAAGATGTGAGGTAAGAAGTATGTGAGATCTCTTTTCTATACTCTTTGTTACTCTAATGAACCCTCACTAAGTTCTCAACCTCTTTGTCTTCCCTCCAGTGTGGGACGTGATACCCAGGAAAATCCTTCCCAGCACCATGGTATAAGAGATCATTGAATCTGGCATATGATGCTTTTAAAGAAAGATCTAGATCAAAAGGGTAAAATGTTAGCATTAATATTCAGAAGCCCTATTTAAATTGGTTTGGGGGACTAGAAAGAGAGTGTCTTTATGGGCATAAATCAGTAAGTTATGGGACCCAACATGACTTGCATCTAACACAGAGGATGAAGCTGTCTCCCTCTCTGAGGGGGAGGGTGCTCTGCAGAGGTGATTTAGAGTGTTGTTAACCTTGGATTTGGGATGTACACATGGGTCTGTCCTTGAAGGCACTGTCCGATTTTCCCTCTCGGGTTCTTTGTTTCCAAATAAGCCCATCTGTTGTTGCTTTTGTTTGAGGTCAACTGGTGAGAAATATACAGGGGTTCCATGGCTGCTGTGCTGGCTGTAGATTTATTTAGTCACAAAAATTGCTAATGTCATTTGTAAATCAGGTCACTGGGATTTGTGGTCTCTCCTGCTTTGTGGCTAACATCGGTGGCCTCTGGTTTTCTTCTTTGTTCTTAGCTCTTTCTGTAGGTCTCAGCTTGCTGGTTTCTGGGTGGGCTGAAATCAGGATGGGTCCTTCGTGTCATATCCTGAAAGGCTGGGGAAGCTGATTGCTCACTTCCCAGAAAGGGGAACCCTTTGTATTTGGGGAGTTCCCTCCTGATGCTGAACAATGCAGATGGGGGAATGGGATGATTCAGACAAACTGAGGCTGTTCTTTCTTCCCCTTTTGTGCTGTGATCTTCAAATTTTTGTTCTGTTGTGTTGCTAAAGTTTCCTCTGTGGCCTCCAGGGTTCTTCCAGAACTGTTTTTGTTCATGGACAGCTGTTGAATCTTTGATTTTTATAGGGGGTATGGACAGCAGCTAGGTCTCCTATTCTAATATCTTGGTGACATCACTTTTCCCCACTCTGAGGTAAGACAAGAAGGTTAGTGGGGGCTGGAGTTGGGTTATTTTCCCACATTGATCAGACTCTGGTAAGATAATTTCTTTTGAAAATAGGATTTTGTTAAAGAGAATAGAACCCTCTGGGTGCATTTCAAAATTGTTATTTTTCTATTCATGATGGAATTTTTCTGGCATTAAACTCAGGAAAATGTGGGGGCTCACATACTTTAAAAAATGCTCAATATAGTGCATACTGAGCACTAAGTAATTACTATTTGAGTGTTTCTACTGCAACTGGGTTTTATAGATGGCTTCTGCTCTAGATAAATTGTGATTCACTATGTCCATTTCTCTCTCCAGTTTTGAGGCCAAGGGCTTGCCTTGTGACCTCAGTTCTCTGATGGACCTAAGGGTTGGTTTTCAGTTTGTTCAGCCTTGTTCTCATATTTAGGGTGGCAGTGATGGGTTCCAAGTACTGTAGATGTCAGTGTAGAAACTGGAAGTCTCTTTGTAAGTACTATTTTTACCCATGTCTTTTCATCTATGTTTCAAGTAAATAATTAGAACATTTGCTTTTTTTATATGATCTGGAACAGTTTCTTTCTTTTTTTTTTTTAATAGAGGCATGTTTTATTTATTTATTTGTTTGTTTATACATGCACTGGGTACAGTCAGAAGTGCGGGAGGGTGAGAGAATTCACCAGAGCCAGAGCAGGGAGCAGAGCAGGTAGAAGGACCGAGGTACACTGCTGAGGGGAGCAGCGGGCGGCAGGAGAGGAGCAGCGGGCAGCAGGAGAGGAGCAGCGGGCGGCAGGAGAGGAGCAGCGGGCGGCAGGAGAGGAGCAGCGGGCGGCAGGAGAGGAGCAGCGGGCGGCAGGAGAGGTCTGCGCGCCATGTGGGACCCTCCTCTGGTGGCCGGGGAGCAGCCAGGGATCGAACCAGCGCCGCAGGCAGGAGAGGAGCAGCGGGCGGCAGGAGAGGAGCAGCGGGCGGCAGGAGAGGAGCAGCGGGCGGCAGGAGAGGTCTGCGCGCCATGCGGGACCCTCCTCTGGTGGCCGGGGAGCAGCCAGGGATCGAACCAGCGCCGCAGAGGCCACGGGCAGCTTCGCAGCCCAGCGCTCAACCGCTGCGCCACTGGGGAGGCCCTGATCTGGAACAGTTTCAAGAGGGATCTATAGTGCAGCTGTTTTCCCGCTGCGCCACTGGGGAGGCCCTGATCTGGAACAGTTTCAAGAGGGATCTATAGTGCAGCTGTTTTCTTTTTGTCTCTGTGATTCCCTGGAACCCAGCACTGTGCCTGGCAACATGTAGACATCAAAACAGAAGAACTGAGGAGTAGAAGGTCACTGCTAGAATATCTCTCTAAACTCTAGTGAGAAACTTGCTGCTGGGTCTCTGAATGGCCAGGTCAGTGATAACTGTCCTACTTTACTAGAGACTAGAGTCACAGAAACCTTTTGCTCTGCTTTAGCCACTTCCTTTGAAAAACCTGATCATTAGTATGTACAGTGTTTTCTTGAAGTGACTACAAAATCTGCAGGAAACTTTTACTATTTCCTGTAAGATAGTGAATTAGAGTTAGGGGCAGCCATGAAAATGTGTCCTTGGTGCTCCAGACACAAGGAGAGTAATTGACCTAGGGTCTCAGCTGCTGTGCTCTCAAATTTATCAAGTTAAGTTTGCAAGCAAAAATTTGCTATTACCAACCATGGACTCAGCCAATTGGTGAATGAATATATAAAGGATCCTAATATCACTAATAATTAGGAAGAAAAATTAATAATATCTCATTTTTGCCCATCTGGTGAAAATTTATTTTATTTTATTATTTTTTAAAAAGATTTATTTATTTATTTATACAAGCACTGGGTATAGTCAGAAGCGCGGGAGGGTGAGAAAATTCACCAGAGCCAGAGCGGAGAGTAGAACAGGCAGAGTGACGAAGTACACTGCTGAGGGGAGCAGTGGGCGGCAGGAGAGGTTTGTGTGACAAGTGGGACCCTCGCCCGGCGGCGGGGGATCTAACCGGTGCTGCAGAGGCTGCGGGGAGCTTCGCAACCCAGCGCTCAACCTCTGTGCTACCGGGGAGGCCCTGGTGAAAATTTAAATAGACAGATTGCAAACTCATTTGGAGGGTATTTTGCAAATTATCAAAAAATTCAAATATGCAAACTCCCTACCCAAATAATTCCTCTCCAAAGGAATTATCTTAAGGTAAAACTGACATTCATGTACAAACATGTAATAATGTCCATTGTAGACTTTGGGGGGGATAGCAAATGACTAGACATAGCACAACAATTCAAATAAATTATGTTAAACTTATAATATGGAATACAATGCGGTCATGAAAATGCAAAACTGACATACATAGAGATTTCCAAGTGTTACTACTAAATGAAGAGTTCAAGAAATATGGAAAAAATCATAATATATGTATCTACTGTGAATGTAGTAAAAAAAAGTTTTAAAGGGATAAAGTTTGAAATGTTAATAGTGTTAATGCTAGTGAAGGAAGAGGAAATTCAGAGGATAAAATTTTTGCTCTATATAATCATGTGTAATAACATGGTAATTTTCAAGGAGCAGATGTGACTTAAATAATTGAAATTGTTTTAAAATAGGGGAAGAAAAATTAATTCTTACTTTATCCATCATATGTAGCCTATGGAACTTTAGTGGATAATAATAGTTTATTATATTTACCCAATATTGCCACTTCTTTTTCTCTTATGTCCTAAATTTCTCTTTGGTATAATTTCCTTCCATATAAAGAACTTTCTTTAGTGTTTCTTTTGGAACAGGTTCACTAGCAATGCATTATCTTAGTTCTTCACCTGTAAAGTCTTTATTTCACCTTCCTTTTTAACGAATATTTTTTGCAAGATACTGAATTTTGGACTGGCTGTTCTTATGGAATTTAAAAATGTTCTGCTTTATACCTACATTGTTTTTAATGAGAAACCTACAGTTACATGAATAATTACTTCCCTATATAAAGTGCATTGTTTTCTTTCTGGTTTTCAGGATTTTATTTTGCCTTTACTTCTCAGCAGTTTGAAAATGATGTGTCTGGAAATGTTTCTTTGAATTTATGCTGTTAGGTGTTTTTACTTAGTTTCTTGTTTATATTTTTTACCAAATTTGAGCAATTTTTGGATATTAATTTCAAATATTTTCCAGCTTCATGTTTTTATATTGTCTTCTGGGACTTGACATAATTATTAAATCATTTGGTATTATCCTTTTAATCTCTGAGTTTTTGTTCCCTTTTAAAATGTGATTTTCTCTGTTATTCAGATTGGATAATTTTTCTAGGTCTATCTTGAGTTCACTGGCCTTTTTTTCTGTTATTTTCATTCTGCTGTTGAGTCCATCTAATTATTTTATTTTGATATTGTATTTCAATTCTAATATTCACTTTTGGTTCTTTTTTATATCTTGTACTTGTTACTGAAGTTTTCATTCATTACTTGAGTATTCACCCTTACTTTCTTGAGCACAGTTACAATTTCTGCTTTTACATCTTTGTTCATTCCAACATCTAAGTCATCTGAAGCTGCTGACTGACTTTTTTCTCATGATTCAAAATTTCTTTGTTTTTCATAGTCCATGGAATTTTGGATTCTATCCTGGACACTTTGAATATTATGAGGCTGTTGGCATTCTTTATATCATAAGGAGAATGTTGTGGGTTTTCTTGTTTTAGCAGACAGCTGACCACATTAGGTTTAGATCTCAAATATTAACCTGTTCTCTCTTACCTATAGCTCTAAACTCAGTTCTGTCTTCTAAGTGAAAGCAGTATCATTTTCATCAAGCCTCTAAGTTCTCAGTCTTGAACATTGGACTGTGGTCTCTTCTAGATCAGCTCTTAAAGTCTATAATATCCTGTTTATAAGAGCCACACTACTTGGAGTAGAGCCCAGGCATTCACACACAGCTTTGTGGGATCGCTGTCTGGCCACCCTTGGTATTCATGGTTCTCTGAAACCTCTCTTCCTGGTCCTTATATCGGAAAGCTATGGATTCAATTTTCCTTCTACCAAAAACTTCTCATGATGGTGTTTGTATTCAGACCAAGTAGACAGATGGGAGAACTTCCTTACTTTCTGAAGAAAAAAAAGATATTCCAGCCTCATCTGGGACTGTTGACAAAGTTTTCATCTGAGACATTTTCCCAATATATATCTAGTAACTAAATAAATTAGTATAATGCAATTCATGTTTTGGCCTTAGATTTAAAGTTTTATTTTAAAAGTCATTTCTTTTAAAGTCATTTAATTTTAAAAGTCATCGATGTACTTGAAATATATCTTTGATGATGTGAATTTTATTTTATTTTATTTATTTTTTAAAGATTTTATTTATGCATAGAAGAGCTGGGGTGTAGGCCAGAGGTGCAGGGGGGTGAGAGATTTCACCAGAGACAGAGTGGGGAGCAGAACAGGTGGGTTGACTGAAATACACTGCTGAGGGGAGCAGCAGATGAGACAGGGAAGTCTACCACATCCTATGGGTCACCTCTCTGGCCAGGGGTCAAACTCATGCTACAGTAGGTGTGGATTGCTTCATAGTGCTGACACTTAACCCCTT